GCAAAGCATAGAACAACATGTTGTTGGCGAGCATAACTAGAACCGTGATTTTGCTATTCAAGGTAATTGACATGTGCACGCCCTGGTCATTAGAAACACGCCCAAGATCTAAAATCCTAGCTAAGACCCTGATTCCATGTGATGTTTATGTTCGTTGCCACCAATGGACCAATCCCATATTAATCAAAATTTTGAACTCAACAAGTCTAGACAAAATTTTCATCACAGCTCGAAAGAGCATCACAAAATTAGTTATATTCCAAAGTTTCGTTGCGAAATGTTGTAAAATGCGGATAATATAGCCTTACGAAGTTTGCCGCGTTTTTCAGTCATTTTGCATTACGCGAGGGGAATTGACAGCCCGATACCCTTTGGGGCTGTCAATTTCCCGTTTGTAATAGAAAATGACTGAAAAACGGCAAACTTCGCAAGGCTATATTATCCGCATTTTACAACATTTCGCAGCGAAACTTTGGAATATTACTAATTTTGTGATGCTCTTTCAAGCTGTGGTGAAATTTTTGTCTAGACTTGTTGAGATCAAAATTTAGTCTATAATGCAAATGTTCAATTGTTGCTTTTGGGTAACTGTGAAACCTATACCCTAGTGACCAGTGTTAGGATAATGTAAGAAAAGAATGAATAAAAGGCAAATTGGGTGTCAACTGTCATAAACAAATTTTAGTTGATTTGGTGTATAACGGGAATTTCTATTATTGAATTTCTACCATTGATATAAGGAAGAAGTTATTTCGCTGGCCTAGCTCAAAACGGTGACAAAACGTAACAAAGCAACGGTTTTTACTAACCCTAACCCTATTCCAAACACCAACCCTAACCTAACCGTACTCCAAGTTTGTTTCTAAACCAATCTTGAAGAAAAAGGTTTTCACGAAATGTCATTCTGATCGAGGTCAGCGAACTAACCTTTCCCTTGATGTAATCGTGCAATCATCTTTTAAACTGAGGATTTTATATTTGTGATTTTTGCTTCATGCATAGCTGTTCTCCACACTACCATTGGAACAGAGGCTATAGAGTGTTCTGCCAGAGAAATTGTAGAGTCTTTACAGAATACAGAAATTAACAGGTATGCAAAGATACACCACTTAACTTAAGTGATTAAGTTGCATTGTACTGCAATGCACCCTACTTTGATATTGTACTCTGTCTATGCCAGACGATTTTAATTTAATTTAATTTATCTAAGGCAAGTTCTGTTGGAAGTCCTAGAAGTGATTTTGGCTGAGGTGTTTCCGGAGTTGATGGACGAAAAAGACTCTTATTTGTCTTCAAGAAATTGTTAAAGCTTGTAAATTAAATGTGAAGTAAAATGATTTTATGCTCATGTCTGGAAAGTATATTGAGATACTGCAGGCTAACGTGCCAATTTGTGTTAAAAATTGTAAATAAATATAGAGTTTATTTATGAAAATGTAGTATAAATTAAATGGTGTTAAATTAGCAAATAAAGTGATTATAACATATTTGAGAATATGAGTGGGGGGGTTTTGGAGGGGATACAATGTAGTGATATGTGAAGGGTTGAAGAGTTTAAAGTGCCTATATCATGGTTTTGGAGTTTACATATCTCAAAAGTTAAGGGTATTTTAAGACACTTTGCAATATATTTTGTGATTGAAAAAATTCATCTTGATGGATTTATTAGCTCTTAAAGTTACTGGACATGATGTCGAAAGGAGAATTTTGTTGCAATGATACAAAGGAAAACTGATTTGCAATTCTCCTTTTGACGTCATGTCCGGTAACTTTAAGAGCTAATAAATCCATCAAGATGAAATTTTTCAATAACAAAATATATTGCAAAGTGTCTTAAAAT